TTGGCTTTTCATTCCACTAATTTATTCGTGTTTTTCTCGTTGCCATGTTCCCACCAGTCACGTAGCTCCTTTTCTGCCTTTGAAAGCACACACAACCCACAATTCCCCTATTCGCTCCGACGAAGGACTAACGCTCGAAACGTCAGCTTTTATAATCGTAACGGTGGCCAATTTACCATTTCAACTTTGTTGATAGATTCAAATTATTTTGTTACCCCACCGACGCAGCCCCAAACAGTTTCTTTAGAAACTATCAGCCTTTATCAACAACAAATCAATTCGTGTACACTGAAACGAACAAAACAATGACTCAAAGCACTCACAGAAACAAACACTGACGAGCAAATTTTTTAACATTAATAAAAGTATTCAGGGTGCGAAAAAGAAAAAAAAAAGTGAATAATCATGACTCACGTGAAGGCTGCCATCACATGAAATGCCTTGTCGCACGGACTCCACCATATTCACGTGGAATACGGGTCGTGTGTGTCGAGCATACGTCCACGAGCTTGCTGATTGGGCTGTGCCATCACCATGGTTGCTAAGCGACCAGAGTTTAACAGTCTTATCTTTACTAGCCGACAAAAAACAATGCTCACTGTCCTGAACGTAGATTGAACGAACGGGTCCATTGTGACCTGTGCAGTAAATATTCATGTTACTGAAGAGGTCACTGAGAGTTTGGTGAGGCTGTCTAAGTGCATTTGCAACGGCGACTCGGTCAGGGTCATTCTGAGAAGAGCACAGGTTTGACAAGTCTCGAAACATTCTTACAAACCCAGCCCGAAAATCTTCATGTTCACCTTTAAATGCCTACGATCGAATTAACAATTCTTCCCTCTAGCTTTCCCACACTCCCAAGTAAGGTGGTCAAGAGAGTGTGATGTTATAACAAGGTAGTAACCTAAGGTCTGTCTATTATCACCATTTTTCACTGGATAATGTACTGAAGTCGTAAAGAAAATTTTCAAATTGGGCAACTCTCGGAGTTAAAGGGTTATTTCAAGAATGTGTGTAACATCATGTTGCTCTTTGAGCCCCCCCTTCTGCCCCTAAAGAAAAAGAAAAAGAATCCATACCGGTAAAGGTTTGCAGTTTGACTTGTTGGAGATTGAATTTGTTTCCTCCCTTTCCTTTCAAACCTAAAGGAACAAGAGCATTATTGAAACAACAAGAACAAGAGCATTAAGAAACACAAAACACGAAAAAAGGAAATTTTTTCATTATTTTGTACAAAGAAATTGGTTACCCTCTTGCTTGGGAGGTTTAAATAGCTGCGCTTATCCCCTCATTTTAGAAATTTGTAGGGACTTGGAAAATGCTTTATTAAACAAAAATAATCATTTCAAGAGATCAATGGGACCGAAAGTGGCAAAGAACAAAACAACAAAGAGAAAAAGAGCAAAAAAGAAAGAAGAAAACAGGAAAGAAAGAAAAACCACGGCAACACCATGTAAATAAATTACCTAAATAAATTACCTTTGTCAATCCAATGACAAAAAGAGACAAAGATCAGACATGAAAACTGCAACAGTTACCCAAAATTAATTGAGGTTTACTTACTGAGTTGGTTTTCCCAGTGCGTTAGCCAGCTACCGCGTAGATATTGGTCCGAGGACGAAGAGGACGGTCTAACGAACCAAAGAGAAATCTGTGTTATTTCAAAGAAGAAAGATTAGCTAACTTGAAGATGGGTTAGGGGCAAGGAGGTAAGATTAAATTTAGTCTTAAGTAAAAAACATCCTACGTTTCTTTACACTTTTTTGGATCCTTCACATTAATCCCTCATACTAACATACGATTACATATGTGAGTGACGGCTAAATCGTCTAATTTAGGGCTGTGTGCTTACTTAAAAAATTGTGACTTACAGGCTGGTGGGTACATCCTTTGTCTTAGAAAGTCTTTTTCCAATAAACCAAATGGGTGGCTTGGGCATTTTCTTGACTTTCTCACTTTTTTTGCTCCCCTTCTTGTCTGGAAACTGCTCCTCTGGTGGGTTATCCACCCCACGGGACCCATCCACAGTCTCAGAATCAAACTCAGATATTCCAATATTCCCCCCGTGGTTTTCATTTTCTTCTTCATCTTCTTCATTCTCAGACGCCCTGTTCTCTTCGCAAGTAGGATGAGACAGCTGAGCATCGAAACTGCAGCACAAGTTCCATATAAGGTCATGATTGATCAGCGAGGTCTCCATATATTTACTTCCCATGATGCCGCAGAGTGGAACAAACGCGTGGTGAGCGATAGCAGGATTGAATGTGTGGCATAACTCCTCATAAACTGGCGAGTTGTAAAGGTCTCCTTCGGTTGCTTTATCGTCAACATTCTCAAGCACGGCTAAAATAGACAGGACAAACTTAATTTGAGTTTCGCCTGATTTTTATAACAGATTGTGAGTGTTTCGAAACCTTGTCATTTTACCTTTCGAAATCCTTGAAGATGAAGTTGTTTTGCAAGTAGAGCAGGGCTGCAAATAACGGCCGGTCAACGGACAATGTCCGGTCAAGATTGGGTACTGACCGGACAAATCCTTGGTTTGCCGGACATCTTGTCCGGTCCTTTACCGACTCGCTCAAAGAAATTTTAATTTTTAACTGTTTGCTAATCACAAGGGACAACGTCATGCTTCCAAAAGAAAAAAAAAACCAATATAAAAGTAGACAAATTAGTGGTCGAGAAATTCCCGGCAGTCGCAAATTTCCGCGATGTCATCAAGTCCTGTCGCGACTGCAAATCATCGTGTCTTCCGTTATTTTATTTACTTTATTTAAGTGTTCCCAGTTAGTAGTGGGTTTTACCTTTGGCTAGATACCATCATTTACTCTTAAAGAAAGTGATTGATTGTTTGATCTATTGAATGATCGGAAAGCACCCTCACGAAGAATAATCTTGTTGCATCGAGAATACTCCAAGTAGCATTTGTTGCAAAGTGCAAAAAGCGAGCAAAAGGCCCAAAACCTGGAGAATCCGACCACTCTTTTACTCTAACAAAAATTCAAAACTGTAACTTTAAAAAAATGGGCTCTGAGTGTAATATTTAATTATAAGTGATTTTGCCAGATGTAAAGTAAAACGGACAATTGCGGTTGTATCTTGCGTAACCGTTCCACGTACTCAATGCGAGGCTGCTTCTGCAGTAAAGAGTAGTAAAATTATTGACTTGTAATTTTTATTGCCAGACCGACTTGGATTCAGTTGTTTTTTAGTTGTAAATTTTTTTCTGTGCAATTTTTTTTCACTATCGCTTTTTTTCGGACTGTTTTTTTTTGACCGGCCATTTTTTTGTAGTGTCCTTTTTTTAGCATGTTTTTTTTTTCAACGTGACTTTTTTTTGCCCGTTATTTTTTTGCAGCATTGTTTTTTTATGAAAGTTTTTTTTTAATATTTGATTTTTTTAAGTGTCCATTTTTTTTTCACTTTTTTTTTTTTACTGTTTCTTTTTTTCAGAGGTAATTTTTTTACTGATCGCTTTTTTTACAAATTTGTTTTTTTTACTCTCAGTTTTTTTTGGCGCCTCTTTTTTTCAACTTTTATTTTTTTAAGCCGTGTTTTTTTTGGTTTAAAATTTTTTTAAAGGAGTTTTTTTTTTACCGTTAATTTTTTTTCATCGACTTTTTTTTCCAACCTGATTTTTTTCCTTCATCTTTTTTTTCAGACGCTCTTTTTTTTTCTAAGCCTTTTTTTAAACTTGTATTTTTTTCCAAAGGAGTTTTTTTATGTTTTTTTTTTTTTATTTTCATGTTTTTTTTGCGTTCCATTTTTTTACATGAGAATTTTTTTTGAAGAGGATTTTTTTTGTAATCTCTTTTTTTTTCTCTTTCTTTTTTTAAGCAAACCTTTTTTTAAACATCGATTTTTTTGCGACAGATTTTTTTTCGCGCTGAATTTTTTTCTGGAAATTTTTTTTTGTACGATGATTTTTTTCGAATAACGTTTTTTTAGATGCCGGTTTTTTTTTGAGATTCTTTTTTTGACGCCAGATTTTTTTGGGATAAGTTTTTTTTGCAGTACTTTTTTTTTGAAAGAACCTTTTTTTGAGCAGCTTTTTTTTTTTGGGTTACTTTTTTTTGAACTCCTTTTTTTTAAAAAGAGTTTTTTTTAAAAAGCGCTTTTTTTCTATAAGATTTTTTTTAAACATTCCTTTTTTTACACTTGTTTTTTTTTTACTAACAGTTTTTTTAGAAAACTATTTTTTTACTCATCAATTTTTTTTCAAAATGATTTTTTTATTATTTCATTTTTTTAGGGGACAATTTTTTTGTTTCCGGATTTTTTTTTGGAAGGGTTTTTTTGTACTCATATTTTTTTAAGAAAACTTTTTTTTAATCAAAAATTTTTTTATCATAAGTTTTTTTTTTTAAGATCTTTTTTTAAGCAGAAATTTTTTTCGTTTTAAATTTTTTTTTTTGTTAATTTTTTTCAAATATTGTTTTTTTAAAAATGCCTTTTTTTAAAGCGTACTTTTTTTACTCAAACATTTTTTTACCCATTTCTTTTTTTTGTCGCTCATTTTTTTCAAATCGTCTTTTTTTTCATTCGTCTTTTTTTATCCAATATTTTTTTTCGGTAACATTTTTTTTAGCTGATTGTTTTTTTACTTTGAGGTTTTTTTAGGTCCCAGTTTTTTTGCCAACCAATTTTTTTTCTCAGCGGTTTTTTTCGATATAGTTTTTTTTGTCAGTTCATTTTTTTGTTTTAAGATTTTTTTCTCATACTGTTTTTTTTTACAAGCGTTTTTTTTGTCATTGTTTTTTTTTTTTATCTCTTTTTTTGATGGTTTGTTTTTTTTAGTTACACTTTTTTTACGGTCTACTTTTTTTTCTCGTATATTTTTTTCGCTATACGTTTTTTTTTCCTCTTCTTTTTTTGGATCTCCTTTTTTTTGAGAAAAGTTTTTTTTACTATCATCTTTTTTTTCATTACCATTTTTTTTTTTCTCTGTTTTTTTTAATTCTCCTTTTTTTTCACCAGTGTTTTTTTATAGAGGACTTTTTTTAGCACATCCTTTTTTTCTTTCCTCCTTTTTTTCATCTCCTTTTTTTTTACTACTGCATTTTTTTGTAATACTATTTTTTTTTCTATCTTTTTTTTTTGTTTCGATTTTTTTTTCCCCTGTTTTTTTTTGAGGGACTTTTTTTTTATTTTTTTTTTTTTTTTCACACCTTTTTTTTTGTGCTTCATTTTTTTTATTTTTCACTTTTTTTTCCAAACCATTTTTTTCTTTTAAATTTTTTTTCTTCTCAGATTTTTTTCATGCATTGTTTTTTTCACCCTTAGTTTTTTTGCTTACAGTTTTTTTTTCATTACAATTTTTTTCCCGGTCAGTTTTTTTAGCAGTTGCTTTTTTTCTGTCTTCCTTTTTTTTTACTCCACTTTTTTTAACTATACTTTTTTTTAATTCACAATTTTTTTCTATGGCAATTTTTTTGCCTACACGTTTTTTTTTTGTTGGCTTTTTTTCTTCAGCGTTTTTTTTATCATCTGATTTTTTTCCTTGAAATTTTTTTTCTTCTACTTTTTTTTTACTAATGCCTTTTTTTAACAACGTTTTTTTTTCGACCTCGTTTTTTTTTTCGCCGCCTTTTTTTTGACCAAAATTTTTTTGGGTAATTGTTTTTTTCCCTTCAGTTTTTTTTTCTTCAATATTTTTTTAATAACTGCTTTTTTTAACATCTTGTTTTTTTGAGCCCTCTTTTTTTTACTCACCAGTTTTTTTTAGATCATCTTTTTTTAAAGGAACATTTTTTTTACTGTACTTTTTTTTTGTACCAGCTTTTTTTGAGGTTATGTTTTTTTAACTGTGGATTTTTTTCCTATCAACTTTTTTTGCCTTCGACTTTTTTTTGGAATTGATTTTTTTTGCGTCTACTTTTTTTCTAATGACATTTTTTTGAAATCCATTTTTTTTAAATCGCACTTTTTTTTGAGACAAATTTTTTTGCTTTGTAATTTTTTTGTAAACATCTTTTTTTTGGGAATCATTTTTTTTCACCAGGCTTTTTTTAAACGACTTTTTTTTTTTCTTTGGCTTTTTTTCTTGTGCCATTTTTTTAAACAGCTGTTTTTTTGCATGGAGCTTTTTTTCTAGACTAGTTTTTTTTGGTTCGAGTTTTTTTAGAAGCAGTTTTTTTTCTTCATCATTTTTTTTGGAGAGCAATTTTTTTAGAAAGGAGTTTTTTTTGTCAACTTTTTTTTTAATATATCCTTTTTTTCTTCTCAAATTTTTTTAACTATCCTTTTTTTTGGATTTGCTTTTTTTTGCCTCTATTTTTTTTTCTGTGTGATTTTTTTTAGCCAAAAATTTTTTTAGCGCATTGTTTTTTTAGGGAAACGTTTTTTTGCCAAGGTGTTTTTTTAGCAATAGATTTTTTTTGAGGCGAGTTTTTTTAGCATCATGTTTTTTTTTGCTTCCCTTTTTTTGAAGGGCCTTTTTTTTAGCCCGAGATTTTTTTATAAAAAAATTTTTTTAACACGACTTTTTTTTCCAAATCTGTTTTTTTGCAAAGTTATTTTTTTTTGGTAACATTTTTTTTTAAAAAGGTTTTTTTTTCACCGTATTTTTTTTTATCGAGATTTTTTTTGAGAAATTTTTTTTTCAACCACACTTTTTTTGGTTAAATATTTTTTTGGCTTCACATTTTTTTGTAGGAGTTTTTTTTTTGATTGACATTTTTTTATAATGGCATTTTTTTTCAGTTTCCTTTTTTTTCCACAGGTTTTTTTTTGTACTTTATTTTTTTGAAGCATCTTTTTTTTCGCACATCCTTTTTTTACCATGTCTTTTTTTTCCAGCTTGGTTTTTTTCGCGCTCACTTTTTTTTGTTATTAATTTTTTTAAGCACAACTTTTTTTATAACACAATTTTTTTTCTCGATTTTTTTTTTTAAATCCAATTTTTTTCTTGGTGGGTTTTTTTAGAATTACGTTTTTTTTCTCCATAATTTTTTTACATTTTCTTTTTTTTTTTATGAAGTTTTTTTTTTACTTCATTTTTTTTAAGAGACGTTTTTTTTCTAGGACCTTTTTTTTTCTTAAACTTTTTTTGAGCTTCAATTTTTTTCAACATCTCTTTTTTTTTGTAGTTGTTTTTTTCGGATATTGTTTTTTTCTGAGCACCTTTTTTTACGTCATCTTTTTTTTTGGATTCTTTTTTTTTGGCAAGAACTTTTTTTCTGTTGTGTTTTTTTTCCTCATTTGTTTTTTTGGGCTGATGTTTTTTTATAAAATCATTTTTTTTTGTGCTATTTTTTTTCATAACAGATTTTTTTAGTGCAGACTTTTTTTCTAGTATCATTTTTTTGTCTAAATGTTTTTTTTTCCGTGTGTTTTTTTCATCCACGATTTTTTTATCTCTTCGTTTTTTTAATAGGGTATTTTTTTGCGAGAAGCTTTTTTTCGCCCTTTCTTTTTTTGGCTCTGTATTTTTTTGCACGACACTTTTTTTGCTTAGCGTTTTTTTTTTATCAATCTTTTTTTGGTAAACGTTTTTTTTTTTCACTGCTTTTTTTCCGGCAAGCTTTTTTTCGAATGTCATTTTTTTCCAGTGATGTTTTTTTGCAGACACTTTTTTTTTTTCTAAAATTTTTTTATGCCACCATTTTTTTTCCTCTGCATTTTTTTTCCATGATGTTTTTTTCAGATCTGATTTTTTTTCATGGATATTTTTTTAGATATTTGTTTTTTTAAA